TTCCCAGCCAAAACTGAAAGAGTACACTAATAAGCAGATTACACACTTTTCAGGGTTTTCCTGGCCAAAACTAAGATTGTGGTCGGCTTAAGATCCATTGGGAATAAATTTCCAAGATCCCAATAATGGCAAGTTACCTCAAGATTATTACCCAGTGTGATAAATCAAGCATCAAGTTAAAATGTAAAAAAATAAAACCAAAAATATTTTTTTTTAGATTAATGGCATGGGTAATGAAAAATAAATAGAATAAAAAGGACTGGATTTACCTGAAGTAAAATGTTGACCAGTGCTGACCAGTCATTGTCCTGGCATGTCATGATTCCTCCTGCACATTCATCATAAGAGCAGCTGAGAATTCTGGCAGTGATGGGGGTCTTCAAGTGATCTCTGTGAAAACAACAACTTTAACCTGGAAGTAAAAAAATACATTAATTAGTAGAAGACAGAAACTTTGTTATATTAGAGCGCAAGCTTGCATTAATATGAAGACAATATCCTACGAACACTTTTAACCTGAAAGTTACCATCATAAAAAGTACCAAAAAAATTAATCACACACTTGGTGTTATCATTGCTTTTACACCAGCCATGTTTACATGGGTGTTTCAACAAAAAATTCCTGGTTCTCTAAGGGAAAGTTTAATAGCTTTGATTATTTAACCTATTAAATAGTTAAAGTCCAACCACTATTGGAATTAGGGAGGTGGTGTTAAATGAACAAAAGAAAACCTTCAAAATGGTCACGTCAAGCTCAGTGCAAGATTTTTAACTACAACTGCACTACAGTAGTGAATATTTAAAAATTTAAATAAGATTTTTTGTCACAGATCAATGCTAATATTAATAATTGATAATTAAGTTGGTATTTTTCACTAGTTCTCCAACCTACTTGTTACTCTACTTGATAGAGTCAAGTGAAGTTATTGAGGTATGTCTTCTTGTATAAGTATAAGGTTTAAAAAATAGAATAGATTGTTTAAAATGTGCTATTTTACAGTGCACAAAGAATGTGGCTTAGAGCAAAATTGAAAAGACGTGGGTGCAGCAACGGTGCTGTGACTCCAAAACGCTTGGAAAACTCTGGACTAGGATATTTGAAATTCATGTACTAGCAGCATTGCTGGTAGGAGAGCTGGTCACCTGAAAGCTTTTTCGTTAACCCTCTTGGGACGTATCCCTCTTGATTTCTCGCGGTCTAGCAGTGAATCTGACACTGACGAAAACAATCGGGAAAGTAATGAAGACAAAATGATTAAGTTTATGATAATGTTGTGAATCCTTGGATTAGGATTAGGGTTTCTGAATTGGATAGAGATGACCCCTATGAATTTTTAGAAAAAATAGAGCCTTTAAATATACCTCATGGGATAAGTACCCCATTTGAGAACTTATGCTAATTTTTACACAATATATCATTAAAATGTTTGTGAGAGAGAATAATAAAGTAACTAATAAGTATGCAGACAACTTTCTCAGTAACACCCAGCTCAAATAAACCATAATTGGATGCACAATGGTGAAAAGGATCGTTCTGTCTGAATCAACAGAAAAGTACCCCGAGGGCAGGAAAAGGAGAACTCTGTGCCAGGGGTGTCTAAAGGGCCTTATTTCCCAAAACACATGTGTTAGGATCCATTCATGCGTCATCCATCAAAAAATTCACATAATTTACACAGGTAAGTCATGTTTATTCTCAGTTGAAATCGACGAGTCTGTTTACGTGCAGAAAAAATCATGTCGGGCGAGTTTTGCCACAACAATGGGTCTCTGGAGGCATTTGTCAGGAGATTAGTGAGTGTTGCATGTTTTGTGTACAAGATAGATCAGCAGCTACACATCACACTTATGCCGATAATCACAGCACATATCCTGCTGGGCACAACAGTCATGTCAGATCAATAGAGAGCATATAATGCAATTGGCACCACTCCGGGATTGACTCATCAAACGGTCATTTATTCTGTTAAGTTTTTGGATCCAAACTCAGGTGCCAATAGCCAATACCCAAAGCATCGAACGTTTGTGGAAATCTGCAAAAGAGAGAAACAAGTGCCACAACGGCACACACAGACATATGCTCGACTTGTCATTGTGTGAGTTCATGTGGCGTCAACGTGTTAAAGTAAATGGTTTTTATGTCTTCAACTATTTCTAGACAATATTGTTCAATTTTGGCCACTACAGTAGCGGAGGACCTTTAAAGAAGTATGTATGTTTTTATTTAAAATAACATTTGTTTTAGTTTTATTGGAAGTGTGAAGTTTTAATGGAAATGTGAAATAAGTAATAATAATTTTTGGGTAAAAGTGCAGTTCAGGTGCGTACATTATTTCTTAGCGCATTTCGTATTTTATCATGTAAACTTACGTGTATTGTTTATAAAAAGTATTTTAAAAGACAAAATACAATTTTTTTATTGGAATACAACAACAATTTAACAAATTTTACGAGATAAAAAAAAAGGACATTTTCTTGAATCTTTCGTCTTTTACGGAGCCATTGTGGTAAATCATGGATAACTCTTCTGTCTTTAAAGATACGTTATAAAAGTTGCCCAATTGGATGAATCTTGGTTAAAATAAATGTATTTATTTTATAACTTTACTTTCAAATAAAACCGGATTTGCTCGGGATTGCATTCAGAAAAAAAAAACATCTGCTACGTCCTTTTAATTCACATTGCTATTAAGCGAAATATCAACAACAAAACAACACCACTATAGGTATAAAATTTTTTAAATTAATTTGTCTCCTATAAAACCACTTTAAATTAAATAACAAATAACTTATGTACACATTTCGTTTTTCCCGTTTTCCGATGGCACCCAGAAGGATCATGGTGGGATCCCGATGGGATCCAGATTTCGGTAGAATCCTGGTCATGGTGGGATTCCGATCCCGGTAAGATACCGATCTCGGTGAGATCCCGTTTCCGGTGGTATCCCAAACTAAATGAGATCCCGATCCCGGTGGGATCCCGTTTCCGGTGAGATTCCGCTCCCGATGGATCTTGATCCCATTGAGATCCTGATGCCGGTGGGATCCCGATCCAGTTGGTTCCCGATCCCGGTGGGATAACGGTTACGGTGAGTTCCTGTTTCAGGTGAGATCCAGATCCCGGTAATTATAAGGAACTCACATACTTAACATACGTAGCCAGTTTACAAGCCACATAGCAATGGTTATGAGCGCCTTACGAGAAATTCCATAGTTGTATTAACGTTATTTCTTGTCTCACAAAGTGCGCGTATAAACCAAATGCTAAAAATTTCCGTTGGATAAACATTCTTGGTCGTCCTGCCATTTTTAACAAAATGATCCCACTTCCAGCAATACCGCAAAACGAGTCCGTCTTATGACTAATCACTAGCCCTCACCCTCACTTTAATCAGCGCAAATCAGTCACCATTAATAAGCGCATTTGCATACGAAAAAAGAGGAGGGGTACTCAAATTAGAGCTGACCAATCACGGACAGCGTATTAGCAGCCTTCAGGATGAGATATATTTTTCTTTAAAGTGGACACGTGATCACACATTGGCACGTATTCGTGCACCCCCCCCCCCTTCTTTTTTCAGCTTCCCTCCAGGTCCAGGACAATGATGACGTGTGTGATCTACTTCTAATCCTCCCCCCCCCCCCAACCCGCCTTCAAAGGACAACCCCTA